GGCAATTTGTTTGTAAATAAATTTTCCATGTACCCACTTGTTCTTCTATAAGTGGGAACACCTTTCTTTTTCCATTCATTGCTCTTGCCAGCCATCTTACTCATCTCTTGTCTGAACACTCTGTACTGCCCTTTCTGCCCCCTCCCTGTAAAGCTCTCTTTGGGCTTCTCTCTGCTCTTTGCCAGGTTTTTCCCTACCCATTCCCTCCACTATCTCCTGTGGGGTGCTTGGGGGGCAGGGGATGCTGCTGGCTTTGGTGCTGGCACCAGGAGCTGTTTGCAGGGATCCTCCAGGCATTGCTCAGAATTTATGGGGAATGCAGAGTCAAGCAATACCCATGATTAGTTGAAATCATTATTTCTAGAACTGCATTTCTTTGCTTTATCAACAGAAGGGTTCATCTGTTGTGCATTTGCTTGGTCTCTCAGCTAACCTGTGGATTTGGGGAGTGCAGTGTGTGCTGCCCGCTCCATGCTCAGCTCTCGCCCCATCCTCCTCAGTGCTGGCACATGCTGTACGTGCAAGAGACTGACGTGGTGAACGGTGGGGATAGAAGGAGAACAGGCTCTTCTTTCCTGTCCTCCTGGTTGACTTCCCAGAGTTACGAAAGCCCCCGGCTCGCCGTGCCATGCCCCGCCACCCCTCAGCCCACTGGCTGATCTCAGGCTCCGTCTCAGCGTGCACATGAATTTCCACTCTTCGTGCTAAGCCCTGCCAAAGCAAAATTCCTGAAGCAGAATAAAAAATGTGGAAGACTTTCAAACCCAGAGATTATTGAACTGTCCCCTTTACCAAATGGCAGTCAACACTATGTTCTTTATAAAGTCTCTAGTATAATGTTTAATTCAGTAACTACAACTGGAAAGTCTTTCCAATTATTTTAAACTGCCAGAGACGTTTTAATGTGCCTCAGATTTTGTGTTGGCATGCTACAGAATTAAGTGCCATCCATCTTTCAGAGAACTTTAAAATTTAGCCTCCTATAAAAAGGAGAAAAACGGGAAAGAATTCCAAAGGATGTACTTGTCCCACGAACCCTACCACTATTTGTGGCCTCACAGACACCTTCTCCTGCATTTTGAAATCGTTTGTCTCCCTCTGTGCAGGGTGAGAGATCTATGCAAACAGCCAAATTCTTTAATTCCTGTGCAGAGCTTCAGTTGAGGGCAGGATTGTGAGCAGAGCTTCACTGGCGGCCACCCAGCTGTACATCGTCGGGTGATATTCACTCTCCAGATGCATTCAAGCCTCTGCAACCAAGGATGTAAAAGGTTGAGAAAGCCCAAGTACCTTCTGATTTCTTTTTTGTGGCAGGGCCATGGGGCCTCTGTCTCTGCTTACTGACTGCTGTTAGTCCCAAACCCACTGATGCAGGCGCCCATCCCTGCTGAAACCTGCCAGCAAGCACTGCCACTGTGTGCAAGGGAACAGAGCACATAGCTTTGCTGCCTTGGTTAGCCTCGCTCCAACTACATGAACATTAGTACATGGCAGAAGCTGACTCTCAGCATCCTTGCACTTTTGTTTAATTCTTGTTTTTTAAATTTTTTTCTTTTTTTTTTTTTTGCCTTACTCCTTCTCCCTGAGCTCAGTGGCATGTGAGTCCTGAGCATGTGCATCTCTGCCCTGGGCAGATGGGGAGAAGGGGCAGGGAAAATGTCTTATAAATCCAGTTCTGCTCTATTAAGATTCACTCTGGTATGACAATAGCTTTTTCTATTGAAATGCTTTGTGAAAGCCTTGCCTAATGATCTGTCAGCTGGGGAAAGGTTAAACTCCTGCAAGATTTTCTGTGTTTGATGAAGAAAAAACAGTGCAATTATCCAGAATTCAAAGTGAGTTTTAGCCAGCTGTTAATAATACTGTGATTCTTCATGTTCTCATTGCTCAGAGGTAATGTGGCCATCCCTAGTTGTGGCAGTAAAATATTTGTAGCATTCTCTTTTGGCCCTGTTTGTACTTATGGAGGGCTGGACATCACTTGAGGTCTTCTAAATTTGCTTCTTTTTGTGCTTTAGCCACCCATGACAGTACTCTTCTCATCTAACTGCAGCCATCTGCAACAGAGATGTCCAGTTTAAGGTGGTCATCTCAGGAGGGGTCAGACATGCTCTTTAACCACTAATAGTTGGGCATCTTGGGCAAACTGGTCATCAAGGCTCTGCTAGAGTCACTGGAGAGACTGGTGCTTCCAGGTTCACACTATGCCAAGACAGCTGCCAAGGATGAAGGAGATAAGTGGACTTGATACCTGATACTCTTGATACCAAGAGTGCCTGTATTAACAATCGGATTTGATGGAGAGGTAGGTTTATTAGTAGTTTTCTGCTTTGTGGCCTCTTTGCAGTCTGCAGGTAGGTTTGTGTGCTGGGAGACCACTGGCAACATGCAGGAGCAACCCTCAGACATCTGTGTGTTTCTCCTAGCTCTCTCCCGTGATCACTGAGGTTTCCAGCTTGGAAAGTCATGGCAGAACATGAAATACACGTGGCATCTCTGTGTCCAGGCGCACGGAAACAAAATAAGTGTCATGGGTAAAATAAAATTTCACAGTGGCAGGCCCTGCACTGGGATTAACAGACGGCTTGTTTCCTCCGGTGGATGCATGGAAAATCAATTCCCAGACCTCTGCAGAGGCTCCTAAACATGAACCAAATCCCCTCCTGTAATACTTAAGAACTACAACTGTTTTGTGCCAGCAAAAAGGTTTCATTTCTAGCAGGGGAACTGCAGGTAACACCTTTTTGCTATCTTCATGTTGTCATTTAGGTGTCTATCTTATCCTCTTTATAGGAGTCTCATCTCAAGTGCAGCTTTTTGCCTGGAGGTCTGAAGTAATTGAGTATTAAGTAACTGTATCTGTCTCTAATTCACTAAACATCCAGAAAAACAGCTAATGTGCCTGAACCAGTGGGATGAATACATTAGATTAATCTAATTCAGCTACTTTTCACTCAAACAACCAGTAGCATTTAGAAAAAGGTTGTGAAAGGGATTAGGAATTTCTTTTCCACATTTTTCCTTTCTTTTCCTTTCCATGACTTTGCTGCATTCCATTAAATGTTAGCTATTCGGTCAGCTGAATAACAAAAGTAAAACATTACTTTTAAAATAAGTTTGTTCTTCTCAGACCTCAGAGCTGGATCCATATTCACAGAGGCTTTCAGTGACCAGGAAAGGCAACAAAATAAATGCAGACATACAGGCTGTGAGGAGTTTATCCTGACTGGAGCGAGCAGCTCCCGGCTGTCACCACCTCACTTGCACCTTGGTCAGGCAGTGCGGGTACAGGAGTCTTGGATCATCACCCCTGGGCTTAGAGCAATTCCCTGAGCATGCAGTCACCTCCTCTCATCCCTTCATCTGCCTTGGCCATGGTGGTGCATGCTATCAGCTTAGTACCATGGCAAGTCCGATGTATGTATCCTCCACTCCTATATACCCTTTTTCACTGTAAATGTGTAAAAAGACCCAGAGCAGGCTGCCTAGACCCTTCAGTTTAACAGCAAATTACTGGTAGCTGCTCTCACTGTGCGTATTTCTTACTGCAGTTCAGTCTAGATCAGGGTTACCTCACTTTCTGGAGAGACGATCATGTGCAGTCATGTCAAAAGCCTTAAAAACCATCAAGGTATAAGACCTAAATGACTGCTTTGCTGCCCGCAAGCCCTGCTCTCCTGTCAGTAGTTTGCTTCAGCGTGATTTGTTCTTGACACATTCCTGTGGCTGTTGATCATCTCCTTATATTTTGTAAGTGCTGACAAGCAGCTTGATTATTTGTCCAAGTATTTTTCTGGGACCTGAAGCCGGTCTGCCTACTCCGTAAATCCCCAGCGCCTCCTTCCCCTCTTCTGAAAGCGGAGCCCTCAGTCTGCCCTCCCCAGCCCCCTGGAACCTCCCCATCCCTGGTGGCTCCTCAAAGTTAAGTGGTTGCATCTCTGAGGCTGCTTCAGGAAGCTCGCCGAGTGTCCTGGGATGCAGTTCAACAGGCAGGGATGATTAAAAACACCACAGTTATCTAATTACTCTCTCACCAAATCTCCTTGCTGTCGTGTGAGTTCGTATCCTGCTAACACTGGCATTAACTTCGTCAGGCATTTGATCGCTTTTGAGTTTTTAGGCAAGATTGAAACAAAAAAAGGCATTAAGCGTTTTGGGTCTCCCAGCAGCGCCCTGTGTTAATGTCACTCCTCCCTGAATAGTGGGTCAGCTCTTTTTTTTGGTCTCTCCTGCTGCTGCTGGCTGGTGCCCCACTGCTCATCAAGGCTACAGTACCGCAGGGACAATGCCAGCTGGGGAGTTTTGGGGCCAGCAGGTAGGACACGAATCCTGCAAAGATGCCGGCATCCCAGGAGGGCCACCCCAGCAGCAGGGCTTGGGCAGGCTGCCACCAGGCAGGGAGCCCTCCTTTCTCCCCAAGCTCAAGGGGTGGCATGAAGCTCCTCTCTCTGTGTGCAGAGCAGAGGTTAGCCAGGTGCGTGGTACACACCTTGGGGGCTCTACTTGATTATTGCTGGGGCTTGGTTACTGCACAGGGGGCTGTGGGAGCTGAATGCAGGCTGTGGTGGCGTGTGGGAGAGGTGGCTGTGAACTGGCAGCCCTGGGCAGTGATTTCCTCCTCTGCTTCCCAGGCACAGCAGGGATCTGCTCTGAAAAAGATGCAAGGCAGGATAAGCACAGGAAAGGCTGAACTTTCCTTGCCAAGAACAAATGAAAAGAGATGTTATAAAGTCACTTGTCTCCGGTAACATGGCCCCTAGCTCTGACATGGTGGTGGAGGGCATCCAAGTTTCTTGCTGGAAGGAGATGAGCCCACACCTGGTATCCTATCCTGGTTTCAAAGGTCAGGTGCATTTCTGCGGTTACAGATGTCATGGGCATGGCATTTGACCCTGGCTCATCCTACACAGAAGGCAAGGTCTGATGGACAGCAGGATCATTTGAACCTCCCTGGAACTAGCTTTCATTTGAATTACAAACTGTTTTTTGTTTCTTCCCAGCCAGGTCTCTAGACAAACTCTATAACTTTGCTGACTGCTCTGGCCTTCACCTGATCTTTGCACTGAATGCTTTGCGCCGAAATCCCAACAACTCCTGGAACAGCTCCAATGCCCTCAGCCTGCTGAAGTACAGTGCCAGCAAAAAGTACAACATCTCCTGGGAGCTGGGCAACGGTGAGTGTGGGAACAGGAGAGCCACAGGAATGGAGCTCGCTGTAGCAGAAAGGTATTCCCTTTTGGAAGAAGATATTTGCAGATCCCAGGATGCTTTGCCAATGTAGTTTCAGAGGGAATTAAAGGCCCCTGCTATAAGGCAGCACCATCTCGAAGATGGACCTGGCATGTGTTAGCACCTTAGCTGGATGTTTCCATCAGTTGGTATTAAGCACATGAAACGTTTCTGCCCTGGCTGCTGGGCACAGCCAGCCCTGGGGTGGCCAGAGCAGCAGCTGTATGGACTGGTATGGTGGCTGCCGTGCCAGGGGAAGTGGGGGGAGCCTAAGGGGACAGGAGCATGACACCAAGGTGCAGGTCCTTCACCCAGCACACAGCAAAAGGGGTACGGGAGGAGATGTGGCACATAAGAGCAAGTGATGGCCCTCATCCACTTCTCAGAGGTTCCTTCTGCTGCTCCACAGAGCAGACAGGCAGCTCTGCGGAGCTCAGGCTGTGCGACAGCGTGAGCTGTGTGTCTCTCCGGAAGCATGGATGAAGGAGCAGAGCTGGCAAGCCTTGCTTGTCTATTTTTATTTTCCCAGAACCCAATAACTATCGGACACTGATCGGCCGCTCGGTGAACGGCAGCCAGCTGGGGAAGGACTACATCCAGCTGAGAAGCCTGCTGCAGCTTATCCGCACTTATTCCAGAGCAAACCTCTATGGGCCGAACATTGGGAGGCCCAGAAAGAACGTCATCACTCTCCTGGAAGGGTAAGTGATGTTGCTTTGATCAAGAAGAGATCAGAAACCCCTCCTGAGACTGATGCCCTTTGCAGCAGGTAGACTTGCTCTTTGGCTTCCCGATGTCCAACAGCTGCCAGGACAGCGAGGCTCTGTGTGGCTCAGCCACTGCAGTACCAGGGGCTTGGGGACATGGTCGTCTGTGCTGCTAAACTTCTGCAGAAGTTCCGGGTGGGATTTTGGGCTGGGCTGATTAACACTTTCCCAAGCGTTCCCAGCATTTCCCAATTATAGGCAGACTGACGTGCCCACGTTGTTGGGATGTGAAGATAACACAGTGGTGTGGATGTAGGGTCCTGCATGCCTGTGGGCTGCAGGGCCAGGAGGTGGGTCCTGGCACCAATTACCAGTGTAGATGTTGTCTCAGAGTCCTCCTGGACAAATTGCTTTGCTCTTCCCATTTGGTGACTTCTCCCTGTGCTTTCTCCATCCGTGCAGAGGAAGAACCTGTAGCAACTTTCTTCACCGGCCAAGCCCTCTGCTCCCTCCTAGGAGAACTGGCATGTCTCTAGTTTGGGGAGGCCAGAGGTGGAGAAGGAATGGTGACAGTGAGGGACGCAGACACCTGGAGGTGACATTGGACAGCTACAGGAACCAGGGAGGTGTGGGAGCCTGCTGGCAGCAGGAATTGGGACTGTGCTGCTCCAAGACCGTGCAGCAGAGGGGAAATTCCCTGTAGGACTGTAAACAGAAACTCCAGTGCAGAGGGCTGGGCAGGGGGAGGTGTGGAAGGGACTCTGCTGGGAGCAAAGCTGGGTCTAGCATTCATTAACATCTGCATGAATGATCTGGCAGAAACAATAAACAGCACACTGATGCAGTCCCTGGCGAGGCGGGGAGGGAGCCAGGGCCAGATTCTCAGCTCTGCTGCAGCAGCACAAAGAGACCATAAAGCTGGTTGAACCAGCTGCGACGCCAGCATCCCTCCCACTGACGAAAGTGGGGAAGCAGCCCCTGCTCCCACCCCATGGCTGCTGCCGATGTCGCGTGAGCGCATCGCTTGCCGGAGCCCCCACGTTCGGTATGGCGCGGTGAAAGTGGTGCAGGGGGAGTTACAAGATGTTGTAGTAGCCTTGATCAGCAGGAAATCTATTAGCGCCAGGAGGAGCGGGCTGAGTAAGAAAAACAACAGGGATGAGAGCCAAGAAGCTCTCAGAGAAAGGGAAGTCCTACTGCTGCGTTTGCCCTTCGTGCGCCGCAGCCGAGTCCCAGGGAAGAGGGGTCGGAAGAGCCGAGTCGCACGGCCAGGGTGGTCTGGCGGCTCTGCGTTGCTGGAGCTGCGCTTTGATTGACGGCAACCTCGGGAGCGAGGCTGTAGCGTACAATCTGATGGAGAGGGTGGTAGAAACACCATCTTGAATGAAAAGGAAGGTAGGTAAGAGCTAGGGTTTGAACAGCCCTGGTGACGGGATGGTGGGGGCTCTCCAGCCCCCCACACTGGTCTGAAAGAGCTGTAATGAGCATGCCTGCTCTCCAAGCTATATGCTGTTTCTCTGCTGCCATCCCCACCTGCCAGGGTGACCCTGGTCCGCAGGCACTCAAAGTCATTTCTCTCTCCCATGGAGAAACCTTGTGTCCTGCACTCCAAACCCTGGTGTCTGCAGCTCATGGCGAGCAGCACGTGCCTGCATGGCCTTACAGCCCATGGGGTCCTGTGAGAAAAGGGCTGTTTGTCTTTCCACATAAAGACCCCATTATTACCAGACAGGGCGTAAAGAAGAGGAACAAGTCTGATTACACAACGACAAAGAGCTAAATGCTCATTTGCAGTATTTGGAAATGGAGTTGCAAAAGGACAAACAAATAAACCCCAACGCCTAAGCTGCTTGACAGTGTGAGCTTTATTCCCAGCAGCTCCCTGAGGTCTCTTCAGTACTCTTAGTTAGCGCTACTGAGAGCTCTGCCTTCTGCAGGAGCATTGCAGAACTGGTCAATGGGATGTGGCTCAGAGTGTGCCTGGGGCTGTCACAGCCAGGACATGCCTCTCGGGATCCTGAATGAGCCCCACACAGTCAGCAAGCAGGAGCAAGGAGAAGGAATTTAGGAAGGTGCTCTCAATGGCAAGCCTGCTGTCTGCCTTGCTGGACCACCGTGAGTGGTCTATGTAGCGCTCACAATTGGATGAAGGTTCCAGAGTGAGTAAAGCGTGTGCAGTTAATAGTCCTGATGATGCAAAATCTGCAAAGTTTTTCTCTTATTTTAAAAAACATGAAGAACAGCAGAAGTCAACCAGGTAGGAAGAGATATGCCAAGTGGGAGATTATGACTCAAGTGTTAAGTAAGGCTAGAGGGGAGAGATGAGACACCCCACAGCAGAACACAGGATGGGTGGATTAGTCTGCCAGGCAAACAGTGCCCTGTGACACAAAGTGAGGAAGTGGGTTTTGGTGGGGAAAATCATGGAAATGAGCTGAAGTGGGAGATGAGAGCTCAGAGATGCCCAGGGAAAGCTTCTAGACTTACCTGAGGTCCTGAAACACTCAGGGAAAAGTCTCATTGTGAAGTATTACCTAAAATTACATTTTCCTGTTGCACGCTCTGCGTTCCAAACATTGTAGTCTATTGTTTAACTGTTATCTCAGGCAACCAAGCCAAACTTATTCTTTATGTTTAAACCTTGTCCTGCAGTAATGGCAGTATCAACATGAATTGGGCATTGCTCTCTGCCGTGCACCAGGCTCTGTCTGTCTCAATGATGGGAGATGGACACCTCCAGGGCTGTTCTGACCCAATCCTAGGGCCTGTCCTCCAGGACAGGGTGGGACTGAACCCCTCCTGGGGTGCCACTTTTCTCTGGGGTCTCCTAGACAGGCTAGATGATGAGCACAGATCAGGCGCCTGAAGGTTTGCAGCACGCAGGGGTGTGCGCACGCTGTCCCGCTGCAAAGGCTGCCCTTAGGCAGGTGACAGTGAGCTGTGCTGGGTGGAACCTATGCGCTTTCTGATGATGTAGGTAGGCTATGGTGAGGGGAGGAGACCCCTGCCTGAAATGCAGCAGCAGGGGCTTTGCACACCCTTCACTGCCGAGTTATTGCTCCTGAGCTCTTGCACCACCCTGCATGGTGCAATGGCTCAGAGCAGCCACAGAGCCCATCAGTGTGTCTCTGGGCTGGCAAGTAAGGACGGGCTCTGCAGTGATGGAGCATTGCTCTGATGGCTGGGGCCTGCTGTGCGGGAGGCTAGAAATGGTGTCTTGTGAATGCACAGGTGCAAGAGGGAATTTCTCCAGACACAACCAACAGTTGAGTTTGATGAGGTGTTAATTAGACTATTCATGCAGCCTGAGCTGTTGGAGAGCAGACCACGTTAGCTACCTACTGCGTCTGCCGGGTACAGGAATCCCAGAACTGCTCAGAATTTGCTTAGGGAAAAAAATTGTGGGATTCTAAGGAATTAACATAGATTTTAACAGCAGATCAGGAATCAGACACGAAGGTTAATGCATGGCTGAATCACACATTCAGTGCTGGAAGAGAAGAAACATGAGGGATAGCTATTAGGAAGAAGAGATGCTAACACATGTTAAAGCCCAGAACATTTGGTACAAAACTTAGGCCGGCATGTCTGGGCAGATTTGGCTAGGGGCTCTCCTAACCTGTTGTTCCTCAGCTGGTGTAGTCTAGTTTTTGCCACTGGACACTCACAAGCGTTGGGAAGTTACCTCCACCGTGTTGGGAGCTGCAGTGCCATGAGGATAAGCACCGGCAGGCACTTGTGTCCGCACTAGGCTGGCTGTTGTTGATGCTCTGGTTGTTTTGGGTCCTGAGCCTGCTGAAGTCACCAGAGAAGTGAAAATCTTTCTTGTCTGGAGCTACAGCCTTTCCCTACCTCCTCATCCCCCAGCTCTCAGAGCCACCAGACCTGCTGCATCCTTGGCTTTCTGTCTGCCTTCTTTCCAGCCTCCTTGGCCCCTCTTTGCTACGGCTGTCACCATTGCACATCCACCCTCTGGTCAAGAGCCACAGCACCTCTGGCCAGGTGGCAGCAGCAGGCAAGAAAGCTCCCACATGTCAGTCCTCACCTTGCAAGGCACAAGAGTTTCTCATCCTTCATGATTTTACTGCCTCTTACTCCTGGTTTGTAGTTCCTGTGGAGCGTTAACCACCCGTCTGGGTCACTTTGGTTCCTTTTGGTGACGATGTCATTCCACAGTGCTCTGAAAGGAGCCCATAAATGCGAGGAAGCACATCTGTCACTGGTGATGAAATCCTTCCTCCCTGCCAACTATGGACATGGCAGGGTCGGGAGCGGGCATGGAGATGATGTCTTGATTATCTGTGGGCAGCCCAGGTAAGGGTCAGGTTAAAAACTGTCCCAATGCTCAGCCCTCCTCCCTGCATCCACAAATCAACCCCAAGCCCAGGTTCCGGTGTTGGTGCTTATGTGGTAGAGAGAGGCGTTAGCTTATAACTCCTGAAATGGCACAGGCTGTACACTTACGGTCCAACACAACCAGAGGCCAAAGCAAAATCAAGGTGCTAAAAATGGGAGAGTCTTTGGTAGTATTTTTATGATGACTGCTCATGCCTTGTGTCCGTGCTGTCACGAGAGCGAAGAGGGCTGTGACTGTCAGAGCAGGTCAGCACACATCAGTCAGTCCAGGCATTGCTTTTTATCTGTGACTTGTTCTGGAGTAGCAGCCAAAGACAGTGTATGGACAGAGCTTGTTTGTTTAAATTCAAGTAGGGAAGAAAAACAAGGAGAGCCTGGAGTAGATGGTATCTGGCAGAGGGAAAGACTCTGGGTGGGTTTCAGGAATATATGTAGGTCTTTGTCCTGTCCTTGACAAGGACTCCTGCCCTGTTCGACACAGGGGACTTGCAAGCACTGCATTTTTTAGAAGCTCTGTTTTGGCTGTTTGACTTTCTTTAAAAAGTACATCCTTGCTGTATTGGTCTAAGGCTCTTTGGTGATGCTGCAGAGGCAAGCGTGTCTCAGTCAGCAGAGCCAGAAGCTGCACCCTTATGCAA